CAACAGCTGCATTGGCTGCAACTTGTTCTTTTCCTTTGTCCTCATTTTCATCTTCGGTTGATCCACAAATGGATTCAAAGAAGTCATTTTTAAAACAATTATTTCCCATCTTAAACTACTCTCAATTCTCACACCTTCTCTTATATAAACATACATCTATGAGAAAAAGGAAATTTTGAAATTTACCCAAAGGCTATAGCCCCATTTGTTCTATCCCTTAAGGGTGAGTCTAAGCTTTTAGGCAATATAAGGAAACCCTACACCTTCAATTAAAAACATAATTCAACCAAATACCAATGATTCAATGATCAATGCAATGCACCAAAGAGAAGAATTATCTCACAAGAAACAATTTCATTAGGAAAAAAACAACTTTTAAAGGCTTCTGATGTCCCCTTTAATCTCAGAAAACTTCCCACGTAAATGGCATGATCAATAATCATAAGAAAGAAATTTCCAATGACCCAATAGAAATAAAATATCACAGTTTACTTAGAATAATTTCTCGTTATAGAAAGGCCAACCAAAGTGCTATGTGAAAAATATGAATATGTGAGGTTATTCTGAATATATTTGAATCAACATTTTTCCTTGCCACGGCTATTTTTATTTGTTATTTTTTCATATTTTCTTTGCCTTGACCAAACTTTTCTGCAATCACACTTCATAATATTCTTTTGCTTTAGTAACTCTTTGACACCTGTTCATATAATCCATTACTAATTGTTTCTTTGTTTTGACAAGAATTCAGGGACTAGCTCATGACACATAGTTCTAGTTGTGGCAAAACATCAAAAACCTATCAATCACTGAGGAGATGATAACTCACTTATTCTTTATTACTTGATTCGACTGTGTACACTTGCACAAATTTGTTTGCCTTAACATATACATTTACAAGTGATCAAGGAACCTGGGTATTCGAGTTAAATATAGGCACCGTAATGTTTACACATAAGGTCGTGCCCACTATATGCACTGAAGTGATACACATAAGGTTATTCCCACCATATGCACCGAAGTACTTAATTGATATGCAACTGCTGCTAGAATCTGTGGCATGTCAACTATACCCTATCCCTCAATGATTTACTTGGGCATATAGTCTATTTTATTTGATCCATCGATGGCAAAGTATATTATCATAATTTAACAATGGCAGTTCATACCTGAAATAACATTTACGATAAACATCATATATATATACACTCATGATAAACATCATATATAATAAACAATGATCAATTCATTTTATATTCAACCCTCGACATATTTAGAATATGTCAAATATATGTTACATGACATAAATATCATGCCAATATAAACAAGATAGGTTCATCGCAAGTCCTACCCAATGATGTATAAAACATCCATGTATAATGTTATACATGCATTGCACTCATTTAGAAATTATATACAAGTCAAAATATAAGCCTCACTAAGCTTTAACTTGATCATTTGCTTCTACTTTGGTTAAATCCCAAAATTTGTCATAATTTAACATCCTAGCAGTTTGCACTACCTTTAAAGAAATATTAATATGTATTAACCTACACCTTTAAAATATTCTGTTTATACTATTGGAAACTAGACTCAAATACGAAACTATCCAAGTAAGGTACTCCTTCTAGTTCAATTTGTACAATTTATGGTGAATTTTCAAAGTTGACAGCATAATCTATCTTGAGCAAAAGTTGCTGCTTTGTTTTTTGACCTATTTACGGTTAAAAATTCATATCTTTATGTATATAAATCGAAATAAATTTCCATTTGTTCTAAACAAAACTAAAATTGTATAATAATCCAACGGTATAAAAATAATCCTCCAATCATTTTTGTAGAATTTATGGTGATTTTCTAAACTTACTGTTTGGAACACCAATCTAGGCATATTTCACCAATTTCATTTTCAACTTGTTCTCTAATTCTATTAGCTCACCAAATGCACATGTAAGCATGCATCAAAAATCACACAACATTTTAGGAGTCACCTCTTACCATAGTAACTCCTTCACTGGCTCATCGCAAGCAAATGCTTGTTCAATAACATAAGTACAAAATAAATTTGCACTCACTTGGTGTCCTTAGCTTGCAAATTTCCCTTAGGATTTCACATTCCATCCTTAAGATTTTCCTTAGCTTTAATATTGCTTGATATTGATTTCAAGCACTCAATCTAAATGGACATAATTACCATCCATATAAAAATTCAAACCAAATGTTAGAATCTTACTATCATAGATATACTTTGGAAAATAAATCCCTAACAAAATTTTCGATGCTTATTCGATACAATTTCCATGTTTCAACATAAATGTTGTCCTTAACACTTCTAATTGACTATTCAAATTCCATTTAATCCAAATTCACATAATATTTTTACTTGAGCTCCCAAACTTTCCATATTTGTGCTTTAAACCTTAACTTTATAAGCTTTCCAAAAATAATCCAATTTCAAATCCTAACTTCAATTTCAACACTCAAACATTAATTTCTAGCATAGTATATCAACTATTGAACTCTTACACAACAATCCATAACTTTTCAAAAATTATTGATTTGGTCCCTTAACTTTTCAAAAATCATAGAATAGTCCCCAAATTTTTAAAGCTACAAAACTTACATAATTTTCCATAATTCTTCTCATCCATATAAGCCATGGTCGAATGTTCCAAAGCTCCTAGACTAGATTTTTAATGATTTTGCTCGATTTTGATTCCATTCAAGCATGAAATCAACTTCCATCCAACCTTACAACATCTCTACAATCAAAGCCCTAATCAATTTAATCAAAAAACAAAGTTTCCCTCAACTTCTAGTTTGGCCGAATATCAAAGAAACATTTCTAGGAAGATTGAACATGTTCTACTCATCATACAATCTTGACAATGAATCTACAACCTCAAAGACCTCAAAATTCATAATCAATTTCATAAACCCTAATGTGAACAAAAACCCTAGAATTTGGGATCTTTGAAATCAAGCAAGATTAGCAAGCATAAATGGTGTCAAAAGATAGTGTTTTTCGTGTATAACAATTTTATATTTCACGGCATAACTCAAAATCCAAAGGAAATTGCTCAAAAATAAAAAAGAAGTTTTCTCTCACCTTTGGAGAAGCTCACGGCTTGGAGGAGAAAAGGATGAACAAGTTTCATGAAATTTTAGTTAAATTTCATGTTAATTTACCATTAATTTAAGCTTAAATGAATATTTTATTCATTTAATTGGGAAAAGACAAATTTACCCTTAATAAAACCTGATATTTACCATAAAACTTGATATTTACCATAAAACCAAGACACCTCAACCTTATCATCTTAAAAAAGTCAAAGATGAAGAAAATATTTTCCCACTTTATCGTTTTGCCCTTGAAATTTCCAAAAATTACAATTTTACCAGTTTAATCCAACGATCCAAATTTAACATGGAATTAAATCCTAAAATCCAATGGTTTATACTATTTTCCATCATTTTAAAATGTTTAAATAATATTTTAAGCCTAATTTATCATCCTTCAATTTTTTTCAAAATTTCTAATCGATCTGATTTACCGATTTATTACCAGACTTTAACTCTTTTTAGTTTTCAACATAAATTCCAGATCAAGAATCTGATTTCAATAAAACCCTACTCTCAAGACTAAACTATCTATTTATGAAATAAAAATTATTTTTTGAGAAAATTACCACTTAGGTCCCTAAACTTTTCCAAATTTTATATTTTAGCCACTAAACTTTCAAAATTTACATTTTGGTCATTAATCAAAATTTGGTGTTTTACATTTTTTTTGATTAAGAGGGTAGATTGCAGGCTATTCGTCGAATCGATTGGATGCTATTTTGCTTCGTGTTGATCTTTTTAGGTTTTAATTTATGTATTTTGCTAAAAGCCCTGCTAATAATAAGGTATATACTAGCGTTGGTCCACACAACCCTGTTGATTATGTACTCTATTAGTGACATTTTCATATTAAAATGACGCTAATCAAAACTAGTTTTCAAAATATTTCTTCCTATTTTGTATTACCTAAATTTAACTTGTAACAATATCCAATAACAACCTCGAAATCTAATTACAATTCGAATTAAATAAAATACATAAAAATAGAAATAAAAAAAGTTCACAAACATTCAAGTGAAATTCTAGAATTTTAGGATTAAATATAAATATCTCACATGGTGATAGGGATGATAATGATATGATTAAATTTTTGTGCTTTTTCATCTGGGGAGGAGGTTTTGTTTTTTGAGTTTTTTGTTTGAGAGATAAGAAAAAAAATGAGGAAGATGAGTGGGCTAAAAAACATGATGTGCATCCAACTGATAGAATTATTATTAAATTTATTGAATTAATTGTATTTAAGATTGAATTGAATGAAATATTAAATTATTAAGGATCAAATAGATTATTATACAAATTTGTTTAAGTACCACATGAACAATTTCGTTACCAATTAACATTCGGCGACTTGAGTGAAATCAAATTAGAAGTTCAATGATCTACTTGATAAATTGATTTTTTTTCAGTGGTCAAACTAAGATCAATCTTAATTAATTCGTTTAAAACTTATTCATTGATTTCCCATATACCAAGAATGTAGCTCATGCCCCATGAGTTTTCTCTCTCTACCTCATAATCAATTTATTTAATGCAATCATGCAAAGCAATAATTCATTCCCATTTTTAAAGATGAATACAAAAATCCCCGTTTCCAAACAAAATCCATTTGTTTAGTTTCAAAACCAAATCAATCTATAAAAAGGTTCACTGAGAAATAATCAATGAATTCTTTCATATGATGCTTAAAATATTACATAAAGAATAAAAATTAAATCATAGAAAAGTATGCACACATTCACAAACTGAATTTAAAAACAAAAAATCAAACACAAAAATGCCTTCATTTTCTGCCATTGGGTAGATAAGGGACTGTATATAAGCAAGTTGAGATTGTTGGAATTTGCAAATTGAAACAAAACAAACAAAAGATCAGTCGAATGGCATCTAAGGATATAGAAACTCACCGAGCTGGTGCTGAAGTATACCATGGCGCAACGCTTTGCAAGCAAAAAGCGCAAGAGCTCCTCGAGAAGTTCCGACTACCCAAAACGTTGATGCCTTGTAACAATTTAGTTGAGTTCGGGTTTAACCAGATCACGGGTTTTACGTGGCTGAAACAACAAAAGACCACCAAGTATAGGTTGAAGGACATTGGAATAAGCTCGTTCGCATCCGAGATGACGGGCTTCCTTGAGGATGGTCGGATGCGGAAGTTTACGGGCATCAAAAGCAAAGAGATGATGATTTGGGTTCCTCTTTCTGATATTGCAATTGATCGATCTGATCTTAACAAAATCATCTTTACCGCTTTAATGGGATTGTCAAAGAGTTATCCTTTAACTGCATTCGAAATCGAACCAGAAGAAATTAAATAAAATTATTTCTTCAAAATGTTGAAAAAGACCAATATATGCAGTAATGATTGAAGGATGCAAGGAACATTTGTGGATTTTTTTATTTGCATGGTGTCGGAACAGTCTTTCGGTCGGGCTCGGAATTAGGCTTCGACTTAAGAAAAATGATTTGGAGTCGTCATAGACCGTTTTAAAACGAATTTAGGTGGGTCGGACACCATCTCACCTGATCTGCGTTTTACCAAAAATATATCGAGTTCGGGAGTCGCTTACGGTCAAGGAAGGATTAGCAACCTTGAACCGCCCTTTCGGTACCAATTAATTTGCCGGTTGTTTTAGTTACGAAAATTAAAAATTTAAATTTAAATTTAAAAACCCGATTCGAATTGTTTACCTTTGATCGGTTGGAGTTACTACTTGAAAATAAAAATGTTAGATGGTAAATAAATAAAACATATCGAGTAAAATTAATTAAGTAAAAAAATTGAAAAGGATATTAAATTTTAAAAGGGAAAATTGTTGAAAAACAGACAAAATAAAAGGAGAAAACACCAAAATAAAAAATAAGATAATAAATATATAAAATAATGGAAATGACAATACCTATAAAAAAATATAAAAAAGGTTAAGTTATGAAGGAACAAAATGTTAGGAAAATAAAATAAGAAAAGAAACTAAAAAAGTAAATAAATAAATAGATAAAGAGACCAAAATGAATTGAATTGGACTTTGTGGACCGAAATTGATACTAAAGACCAAAAAACGGTGACTGAATTGTAAAGCGATTCAAAGCTCCAGGGACGGCGGAAAGAATTTAAGGAACTTCTAATTGCAAGGAGGCCCCTGGTATATAAATAGCCAAACAAGCCTATTTCCCTCTCATTTCTCTCATTTTCCGATGGTCCTCCGATTTTGAGGCTTCGCTCCTCTTGGTTGTCTTCTGTTTTTTTTGTTATGGATTTTTGCTTCGTGTTTCTGCCTTTTTTGTTTTGGTTCCCCTGTGGGTTGTGTGGTTGGCTGTTTTGGAGAGTGTTTGGTTGATGGTTTCTGTGTTCTCTGTGTTTTTGACGTTGGCTACTGTTTTCTTGGCAACAGTCGGTGTACTGCTTTTTGTGTTCTACCGATGATCGGTTTACTCACGATGATGATGTTTGGTGTTGTTTGTTCTTGCCGTGTCCCTTGTGTTTGTCCTATTCTCGGTATTTATAGGTCTTCACCGGCCGTTTGTATGTCCTGAAATACGGGGCTCTCATGGCCGTTGAGGCCGGACACCCCGGGATGGGCCAGTCCCAGGGATCTCGGCCGGCTGTTGACACTATTGACCGTTTGGCTCCTTGACTTTGCGGCGTGATAAGGGTTGAATGACACCCTAGTATTTTGTAACCTTGATCGTTGATCTCCATCTTGATCCAACGGCTATGAACTGTGCGACGCTGGTCTTAGATGAAACCCTATCTTGCTACTAGGCTGGTTCAGGCCCAGTGTTTGGACTGGACTTGGACTGTTATTGGACCCTAAAAAAAGAAAAAAACATAAAAAGAAATTAATAAATAGAAAATAAATAAAAATAATATAAATAATATAATATATATATATATAAAATATTTTGTTTAAACTATATATTATATTTTTAAAAAGTTTTTAAAACTATATATTATATAGTTTTCAAAAAATGTTTTAAAAATATTATATAAGTTTTTAAAAATATTTTTAAAACTATATATTATATAATTTTTCAAAAAAAGTTTTTAAAACTATATATTATATAATTTTCTAATATCTTTTTAAAACTATATATTATATAATTTTTCAAAAATATTTTAAAAAAACTATATACTATATAAGTTTTCAAAATGCTTTAAAAACTATATAATATATAAATTATATCTTTTTAAAGTATTTTCACAAACTATATAATATATAAATTTTCGATAATCGTTTTCTGAAAATTATATATTATGTTTTGCCAAAAACATTTTTACAAATTATATTACTATATACACATATATGTATAAAATAAAAATATATAAAAACAAAATAACTCCGGGCGAAAATGAGTGTCTACAACTGCCCCTCTTTGTCCTTTTTCGTGTAACGAAAAATAGGACAAAGACAAAAAGACACAAATTTTCGCTCGATGGAGTTGAAAAATTGACTATGAAAGAATAACTCCCTGTCGAGTTGAGTTGCAGATGGCTCCTTCGTCGCGAAGTCGAGTCCATATCAAAATGATATAGAATTGAAACTAGAGTCCAGAATTTGAATCGGAACATGGCTTCTCGTTGCCAAATTGTAGTCAACTTCGGTCTTCTTCTCGGTTTGAAGACCTGGTAAAAATTCGACTGGAAAGTAGTTCCTTAACTCTACCATGTGGTTGATAAGCCCTCGAGCTGAATGGAATCGAACTTGAAGGGTCTTCGTTGACATATAGCTTTTCTCGACTTAAGCTATGTTGCCGGGAAACGTTTTTGTTACTGAGGCACGGTTAACTCGGGTCTTCTTCTCGACTTGAAAACCTTGATTGCAACCGGACAGTAGTGTGATGTGTCATCGAGCTGAATGGAGTCGAACTCGAAAAATTTATTGACAGATAGCCCATGAGCTATGTTGTAAATTTGGTTTCCCTCTGAGCTGAATGCAATCGAACTCGGAGGTCTTCGGTTGGCAGATAGCCTTTCTCGACTTAAGCTATACTGCAAACGACGTGCCTTTGAGCTGAGCGTAGTCGAACTCGAAGGTCTTTGGTGACAGATAACCCTTCTAGCCTTGAGTTATACTGTAAATGATGTGCCCTCGAAGCTGAGTATAATCAAACTTGAGAGTCTTTGGCAGATAGCCCTTCTCGACTTAAGCTATGCTGCAAATGATATGCCTTGGAGCTGAGTGTAGTTGAACTCGAAGGTCTTTTGGTGATAGATAACCCTTCTAGCCTTGAGTTATGCTGTAAATGATGTGCCCTCGAAGCTGAGTGTAATCGAACTTGAGGGTCTTTGGCAGATAGCCCTTCTCGACTTAAGCTATGCTGCAAATAATGCGCCTTGGAGCTGAGCGTAGTCGAACTCGAAGGTATTTGGTTGGCAGATAACCCTTCTCGACTTAAGTTATGCTGCAAATGATGTTCCCTCGAAGCTGAGTGTAATCGAACTTGAAGGTCTTTGGCAGATAGCCCTTTTCGACTTAAGCTATGCTGCAAATGATGTGCCTTGGAGCTGAGCGTAGTCGAACTCACAGGTCTTTGGTGACAGATAACCATTCTAGCCTTGAGTTATGATATAAATGATGTACCCTCAAAGCTGAGTGTAATCGAACTCGAGGGGCTTTGGCAGATAGCCCTTCTCGACTTAAGCTATGCTGCCAATGATGTGCCTTGGAGCTGAGCGTAGTCGAACTCGAAGGTCTTTGATTGGTAGATAACCCTTCTCGACTTAAGTTATGCTGTAAATGATATGCCTTAGAGCTGAGCGTAGTCAAACTCGAAGGTCTTTTGGCAGATAGCCCTTCTCGACTTAAGCTATGCTGCAAATGATGTGCCTTGGAGCTGAGTGTAGTCGAACTCGAAGGTCTTTGGTTGGCAGATAGCCCTTCTGGCCTTGAGCTAAGTTGCAAATAGTTTCTTCAAAAAAATGGCTTCCCTTCACGGGTCTAAGCCGGTCATGATTCTTCAGGTGGTTCCCCTGAGCGGGTCTAAACCAAGTAATGATTTTTGAATGACTCCCCTTCACAGGAAAGTCCACTGATAAATCCTGCCAGCCAGATATCATCTGTAGTGGAATTGAAATCTGGCTTGAAAACATTAACTGGGACATGCTGCTCATTGTTGAGTTAAGCTGAACTGGATTTGTTCTGAATTGGTTCTCGAACCTATCTGTAACTGATTCTGAGATCTGTAGATATGTCAAGTCGATTGAGGTGTAGCTTCTTACTGCCATTGTTCCTTAAAGGCGTTGCAAATCGAGCATCCTTCATCCTGAAGTCGAAACTTGACTACAAAAGCTACGAAAATCATATATGCTAAAATGATGAATGTGATGCACCTAATTATGTCTAAGATGCGTGAAACATGAATGAATTATGTGTTATCTCTTGGACGGAGTCTCGTGCTTTGTCTGCCAATCTAGTCCTTGGAATCGATCGTGCCCCATCCTTTTTCAAGCTTGGGTTTTACATACCCTTCATATTTGAGACTGTTCTGTTTGAAAATGTTTTTCTCATTTTTCTTGTTTTAGGAGGGAAAATGATAAAAATGCTGTAAATTATTGTTCGCAATTGAATCAAATTGTAAACGTGAGTTGAAAAAATATCAAAGGAATCAAGAGCTCTTTTAATGCTTTTAGAGTTACAGCTCTTTGACAAATGTTCAAATGGATGAGTTGGCTTTAGGTTGGCCTCCTTTCTAAGGTTTTGGTAACCCAAAATGTCATTTTTTTAAATATCGCAACATACTTTGGCATTTCAATTGGGTGCGGACAAAATGGCGCAACTAGCATGATCAATTACTAGACCTTTTATTTCGGTCCTCTGAAATATCCATTTGTTCAAGCTTTGTAGGCTCCTCTAACAAAGGCAGTACAAAAAATATCTGCCTAAAAATGAAATTTTTGAGTGCTCGTGTGTAGTTGACTATAACAGGTGTTCCTTAACTCCCTTAGTCCATCATTATCAAAAATTTCTTGCTTAGATAAATTTGATTTAATTTGCCGTTATCTGGCTAGCTGAATCCATAAAGCCGGGGCGTTTAACCAATTGCTTTAGAGGGACAACTTAACATTATAATCAATTTTATCAAGTTCACTGAAGGGTTCATCTCATCACAAAGTCTTCGGCCGGACAATAGCAGTGGAGCAAACACCGAAATTGCCAAGTGTTCGAGCAATGTCATGGTTTGAACGTAATCTATTCATAAGGCCAAGGCTTTCAAGTTTCCTCTATAACCAATTTCCTTAGTGGAATAGCTCAGCTTTACGGATTTAATTTCTTAAGATTGTCAAGAAGAACCTGTTATAGTCTAGGTGTTGTTGAAA